TTGAAGGAATTGATATCATTGGGTAGAAATCTGACTGTTCATACGGTTTGATATGTTAAGTCTGATCTTTTTTCGTTCCGCTGTTAGTAAACGAACAAATTCAGTAAAACGGGTTTTTGTACATCGGTTTTTTCATGAGTTTGATTGCAACTTGATTAGAAAAATAAGTTTAAAAACTGCGGACAGATGTAACAAATCCAGGAGTAGGAAGAACGTTGTTATTGAGAGAGTTAACACCAATTCTTCGTAGCTTGAATTATGATCGGCTGTAATATTTTTTGAAAACGTATTTCGAGATTCAAATTTGTTAATTGATGCTCTCAGAAAGAATAGACGAAGTGATGCACACAATAAGTCTGTGACAAGTATCCATGTGTAGAGAAAGACGCTGGTGTATGTTCAAGTGTTGCTATTGCTTTTCCTCTAAGGTATAAGAATATTTTTGTTTGCGTTTTGAGTTTATGGTCAGCTTGGCCGCCGAATTCTTTTTTACTATTGTTTCCTATCCAAGAGCTCCTAAACTAGGGAAAATCGGTTTGCGGTTCCTTGGATTTTTATCTCGGGGTTTTCACAAAATCGCTGCCTCAGACTTCATTTGATTCTTTATTAGTCATTTTTACAAACTCCAAAGGTCTAATCTTACGCTGAGTGTATTTGATCACTGAACAAGAAACTCATGTCGTCAGCAAATAGAAGCATATAAGAAAAACGAAGTCTTCATTGTATATCTAAAATGAACATGCAGTATAAATGTAGTCCAAGCATCGATCCTTGTGGTGGGACACCTATGGTTTTTCCAAAACATTTCGATTTCAGAGTTTTCTGACCTCTAATAGTGTTTTCTATTGTTGATGTAGTCGTTCATTCTTTTGAGTCGATATTCCCTGCATCAAGTTTGCTCATCTTAGGTTTGAGATCTCAGTAAGGTTTTTTTGAAAGCGAAGTCAGTATAAAAAGCACGGTCATTTTCTTATCCTGTTTTGAATGATATCAAAACTATTGTGTTCGAAAGTATGCGAAGAAGGAAGAGACCAGCACAGACATTTTTAAGGACAACACAAAAAGATTCACAAAAACGCGATTCAAAAAAAGCAGATTTGCATTTATCTTTTTTTTATCAATCGAAGAGCTGTAGTAGGAAACTGAGGTAACGTTCATGTACATTTCAAAAATCAACAAAACAGCAATTTTCTGAACATTTCCACGGCCCTTTAACGTTTTCAAACACTTTTTAAAACATCAAATGGAAAATATTGTTTAAAATATCAGAAAAAAATTAATTGTTTTTTGTTTTTTTTTGTTCATCAAAGTTTCTCCCCACATGCTATTCCAAGTACCAAAAAGAGTGTTTACGTGATAGTGAGTAATCTGAAACTTGAACCTACTGATGTAAATAAATTCAAAGCTTGCCAGGCAAAGCTGAGATTGAAAGTAAGTTCTTCACTTTTGTCGTTGTTGCGAAATGAGCGATTGTCGTGTCTTTCAACTGCATTCACAAAAGCAAAAATAAAACTCCTGTAATTTTCATGCGCTGTCTGTTTCGTTCAGTAATGCCTCGTCAAATAGAACATTATAAGGCAAAGTCTTGCCTCCTTCGGCACACTCCTGTTTTAGGACCACGACACTTTCACAAGGCAGATCAGAAGTGAACAGACGGTTTGACGATTGTTACATGGGCTGCTAGTTGACTCCCTAGTACATAGTGGAAAGCTTAGGTCGTTTTTAAACACTGGAAGATAGCAGAACTTCCAATAATAGTGATTAAATTCTTGATGGATTTATTTGCTAGCTATTAGTTTTTGAAGTCCATGATGCTCACGGCCCTAGCACAAATTTTTCTAAGAAAACTCTAAGGACTTGAGCATGTTTACCGAGGAACCAAGGGTAGGTAGTTCTCGTAATTAGAGAAACTCCTTGGCTTACAGGTTGAGAGCACCGTCTGTGTACTCGCAGCTATTAAAGTTAATTTCTTCCGTGGAAATTTTTTCCTTTCAAAGCCATGAGCTTAAACGCAGTCTTGCAGAAGTATCTGTTAGACCAGTAGCTAGCCTATTATCAGGTCATTTTTTCAATGCCGGTTTTTTCTGTGCAGGTGTTAGTTTTCTCAATCTGGTTAGCTTGATTCCCAGCCATTTGACTTTTTTTTCAAGTAATACTTCACTTTTCCCTATTTTTTTTTGATTTTTCGATGGTTTTTTGACTAAGCGAAATGATGAAGGACTAGTGCATTGACTTCGGTTACCATGATAATTTTTGATCTTCGTATTTTTAAGAAAACAATGATCTTAGGTAAAAGTACCTTTTAAAATTTGAGCCCATGACATCACTGGCTTCCAAATGGCATAAAAAATTTCGTTCAAAATGGCTAGTTCAAAAGTCGATTTTTGTTTAAAGGTGAAAAAAAAGAACCCCAGCATATATATTCTGTCTATCTATTATATATTTAAATGCGGGCATCACTATTTCACCATGCTTAAGCTTTTTAAACGTATTATTTTTACACGTTTAACAAAAGAATTTTTTCACGTTAAGCTATATCGTATATTGCAATGGTTGTTTTTTTTTTCAATTTTCCAGTTTAAATTCAGTGTTTATTTCATCAAGTTTGAAATTAGTAGCCCAATAGTAGAATATAGTCAGAGTTTTCCCAGGCTTTGCGATGAATAACCAAATCCTTTTAGTTTACGAGATAGGCAATTTTCGAGATTTTTCAAAAAATTCTAGAAATTTAATTTTAAAATTTTTTTTCAATTTTTGAAATTCTCACCATGTAGTTGGGTGCTGTCAGGGTACTTTCAGGGGTTGCGAATCTTGCCTCCAATTCTGACTTCTCAAATCTTTTGTAGTTTTTGAGATATGACGTTTTTTTATGATTTTTTCAAAAACTTAGATTTTAAAAATTTTCAAAAAGTTGAAGATCTCAATCCTGTTGTTGGATATTGTGAGTGTACGCTCAGGGGTTGCGATTCTTGTCTTTGATTATGGCTGCTCAAATCCTAATAGTTTTCGAGATATGACGTTTTTTATGATTTTCTCCGAAATTTTCTAAAAAACTAAAATGTTAAAAAATTCCAAAACTTTGAAGATCTCAATCCTGTTATTGGAATCTGTGAGGGTAATCTAATCTCAGTAGGTTGCGAATCTTTCCTCTGAATGTGGTTGCTCAAATTTTTGTATTTATCGAGATCTGACGATTTTTTAGGATTTTTTCAAAATTTTTCAGAAAACTTAAGTATAAGAAATTTCGCAAAACTTGAAATTCTCATCTCTGTAGTGAGGCTCTGTGAGGGTACTCTCAGGAGTTGCGACTGTTGCCTCCCAATAGGACTGTGAATTTTGCCTCCTAATAGGACTGCTCAAAATCTTACGGTTTTCCAGATATGACGTTTTTTGTGATTTATTCAAAAAAAAATTTCATGAAACTTTAATTTTTTTTTTTGAAAGTTTGAAATTCCTAACCTGTAGTTGGGGGGCTGTCAGAGTAATCTCAGTGGTTGCAAATTCGGCCTCCAATTAAGAATGGCCAAGCAAGTCATTCTTGTTTAAGAGATAGGACGATTTTTGTGATTTTTTGGAAATTTTCAGAAAACTCAAATTACAAAATAATTTGTTAAAGTGAAATTCCCAACCATGTAGTTTTGTACTTCCAAAGATTGCGAATATTGCCATCAAAAAAGATTGCTCAAATTTTGTTAGTTTTCGTGATGTGAATTTTTTCTGGTTTTCAAAAAATTTCTCTTTTACAAAACTTAATGTGAAGTTTCTCAAAATTTGAATTTCCCAACGTTGTAGTTGGGTACTGTAAGAGTACTCTCAGGAGTTGCAAATCTTGCGTCCGAATGCGACTGCTCAATTGCTTCCAGTTTCCCAGATGTGACGTTTCTTAATACATTATATACTTAGATATAAAAAAATGTCACAATATTTTATGGTTTTTCAAAAAATGAATTAAAAAATCGAATGAAAATTTTTACAAAATTTGAAGTTACTCCCAGGAGTTGCAAATCTCGCGTCCAAATGTGACTGCTCAATTGCTTTCAGTTTACCAGATGTGACGTTTCTTAGTTCATTTTAAATTTTTCGAAGAGCTTCTACAAAACTTCACAAAATTTTATGGTTCTTCAAAAATTGTATAAAAAACTTGACTAAAAAATTTCGCAAAATTTTTAATTACGAACCCTGTAATTGGGTGCTGTCAGAGTTCACTCAAGGAATAGTTTTTTTGAATTGTTGAAAGTTCGAAGCACTGGAGGTGCGGTACAAGCTAGTTTTTCTGAAAGTCAAAACAACGAGGGCTCAAAAAACGAACTGTAGTTTTTATGCCGAGACACGTCAACGATTAGTTTTCTAGTGTGAACCCTTGCGCATGACAGCTTAGCTGAGATTGCGCAAATTGCCAAAATGTTTGGTCAACCAACATATCTATGCATAAACCTTTCGATTATTATGCAAGTAGCTCGTGGATACCTTACAGCTAGGATACAGATCAGAAGTCTGTACTATTGAAGGATATATTTGCTAACTAATAGTTTTTGAAGTCCAGGATGCTGCCGGCCCTCGCTAAGATTTTTCTAAGAAAGCTCTCTAATAACTTGAGCATGTTTTCCGATGAATCCAAGGTAGGTCACAAATACTAGTTTTGCTTTAGTTTCTGCACCTCATGTCAATTTGGTAATTAATGTGTTTTTTTTTTTAAATATATATATATATATATATATAGTTAGGGTTATGTTCCTGAAGGCCCAATTGATCTCATCCACTCCCTCTATTTCCAGGGAGCGAAAAGCGGGCAAATTTTCCGATGTTTGGTTTTAGGTTTTAGCCTATTGTCTTCGGTTGATTTCATGTAGAGATCAACTTCTACTTACACTAAAATCAGTGATAAATTGGCATGAGCTCTATAACAGGCTTAGCTCTATATGGGTTTGCAATCAATTTGCTTTGGTTGAATAATTAGTTTAAAACAAGAGATAAACCGAAAAATTCAATCTGAAACTCACATATAAATGACCCGAATCCACCGACGAGAAATACATAGGTCCATCCTGATGTGTTATCCAATACTATTGAAACCACTTCTGTTAAGCCGAAGCCAGTGACACCCTATAATTAATCATACTATCTGATTAGTGATAGTTTTTTTGTTGTATCTGGTAGTTGTTTTGATATTTGGGACGTACACTGATACAAAATACTGTGCCATAAATCACTCCAAAGTTTTTCATCCCGAAAGCTTTTCCAACAGCACTCGGCGTGAGAACATAAATGCCACCAGTGTTGGCGAAAAGTAGGCAGACCCAAAGTAGAAAGAATAATTTAGCCAATGTTGAATTTCCTAGTAGCGCTCCTAGAGGCATCGTGACTGCAAGCAGACCTTGAGATGCCGACAGAAGCATCATCGATGTCTGAAACAAAGATAATTCGTTGAAGAAGCTGAAAGTTCTCGTCCTTTTTATACTCTTAGTTTAGTTAATGATAATTTGTTTTTTTTCCAGATTATGTTGGCATGCTAGAAACGGTTGAGAAAGGCAACTAAAAGCAAAAAGTAAAAGAAGTTGGAAGATGATCTTTTGCTGCCTTAAGATATGTACGACCTTGTAGCTGCTATGATCCATCAAGATTCCCCATGCAAGTCTACCTAGTGCATTGGCTACACTGGACATTGATCCTACAAGGGATAGAAAGGAGTCGTCTTGGATGAATGTTTGTCCATATGTCTGAAGCGAGAAAACAATGCAAAGAACATTAGGTTAAGTGTGATCATGGACGTCATATGTACCCTAAAAATAACCTTGAAAGGCAATATTGTGGTAACATATTTAAAATGACCTTTTTTGATGGCTGTCATAATTTGAGAGTGATATTTGTTTTCATATTTATCTTGTTTTGGAATTTATTTTAGCAATGAACATTTTTCCCCACGTCTATCTTTCTACCTTTTGTAACTCTGTTCAAGTTCGGAACAAATATGATAATTGGTTCACCACAATGATTTTAGTATGATAATTAATAACCTTGTAGTAGTTGCTAATGATAATCAGCACGTACTCGTGACAGCATAGAACCAGCAAGCTGGCCCAGAAAGAGACGTTTAAGATTGCTTCTCTCAATGTGAAATTTTGTCCGCTGTAGCCCAAATATTCTTCAGATACTAATTTAGAAGTGACCGTGTTTGTTTTGTCATATAGCGGACCGTCAAGTGTAGCTTCCAATGGTGCTGTTACGAGTACAGAATCAAGAGGGAGTTGCGTTCGGTTCTCCCTTCGATGTTGTTCACTGTTTCCTTCGGACTCCCTCGAACTGCTGACCTCAAAAACAAAATTAGTTGAAAATAAATTTCAAGGTTCGAAGAAGTTAAAAATAGAACAATTAGTACTGTTATTTGCTCTTCAAGTGGCTCTTTTCTGGTCATCAGCGCTACTCCCAAAAGTGACAAAACACCATAAATAGTTCCCAAAATCCGGAAACATTTCGGTAAATTGTCCAGCACAGCGTCTTGTGTGAAGTAGCTGAAGCAAATCGAAATCTGTTTCAAAACTTTGAACCACAAGAAATTACGATACACTTACTCTTTGTCGTCTATTGTTACATCAGGGGAGAGATTGTTTGGATTTATGATGACTGTTTGAACAAAGTTGATGACAAAACTGCCACTTCCAAAGCCAGCGACTGCCACTCCAGTTATGAGACCGCTGTTATTTGGATACCACTGAAAATTGTTTTTATTAAACAAAGCCAACAGAAGTTGGAAAAGATTCATAAACGCATTATAACAGAAAAAAAATATACTGAAATTATGTTTTGAAAAAAAAAAACTGCAACTGAATTTCTTAGTAAAAAAATAGATGACCTTAAATCTTTTTGAATTTCATAAAAAGTGATGGTTGATACTTTTTTGATAAGTCAACCCAAATTGAGAAAACTGGAACAATAGGTACGTTTTTTATTCCGCTGCGAAATCTGAAAATTTAATTCCACTTTCGAAACTAGATTGCGATCATGTTTTTCATTACCTTTACATTTTTGCTGATCGATAGTGGAGTTTGTTGTCCTTTTAACACAGGAAATGATCTGAACTTAAAAAAGAACCAAAAATCAAACCGCAAAAAAAAGGTAAGTTTTCCTGAAAAAACATCACGAACTATATAATAGCTCGTGATGTTTTGTCTTATTCGTGATGTTTTGTCTTCTGTGGTGTTTTGTCTTATTTGTACCACAGTTCAAATGTTTTTTTTCTCTTCTAAATTTTTTCACGTAGCTGTCACTTTGCAGAGTCTAACGTCTGCTGGTTTTGAGATATTTTACACCAGAAATTTTCTAATATTTTAAACCAGAAATTTTCGAATATTTTAAACCAGAAATGTTCTCGAGTTCATCTTTAATTTAAAGACTCAAAATGCACTTAAAGTAGCCACCGCATGCTAACCAGTTGAGCGTATTTGATGCACAAAGGGTAAGCTATCCCCACTCCAAACCCTTGCATTAAACCGTACACGAATATGAGGGGGACATAGCCATATTCAATCAACCAGCTCGTCAGAAGAATGCTTGCGCTGAAATATAATAGTTACCAAATTATTAGAGAATATACTTTATCGAAAATAAATGGCATAGTAGGTTCCTATTTTAACGCTAGTGTTAATACAATTTTGATCTAGACCTATATGATGATGAGTACCTGAAATAAGATGATGACCTTTACCTTTGGAGCAAGGCACCGACTAGTATCACCCGTCTTAGTTTCACAAATTTCCCTAGGAGGCCGCCCAAAATGGCGAAAAGACCAATGGACGAATTTGAACTTGTGAAAATCCAAACTGAAGTCTAAAATGAAGCGACGGTAAGTACATTGCGAAATTGCGTTAGTTTGATGGAAATGTTTGATGGAAATGTTACCGTGTATGTGACCCACGAACTGCTAGTCTTATACTTCAGGTATGAAGTGACATAAGGCGACATGTTTCCTAAAACAGATGAAAATTGACAATGAACTCAATGCACAAGCGCAGCTGGACTTATGCTGCTACGAGGCAGTTTTTTTCAAATCTTTTGATTATAGACCCCACCCACCCCCCAAAATTATAGCTACCAGTACTGTGATTTTACTATTATGTGGACCATAGTGTGCTGAGGACGCTAGAATGAGAGAGCCCGTTTTGGCGAGGTCTTGAAAGAAGAACAGTTGGATCTGCAGATCTCAATTTGTGTGCGTTGCGTTATATAGAAATCATATGAATAGTCTTCACAATCTATTAACTCTGAACGACGTTTAATTAAAATGAAAGGCAAAAGGATACTATTCTCGAGCCTAGTGCATTATATGGGAGTGGAATTTACTCGTAAGCAGTAGATCGTGGGTTCGAATCCGAGAAAATGTCAGTTTTTTGCTTTCTTCTACGCAATTTTTAAGCATTGCAAAACGTAGTTTCTTTTTCATTGCTTGCTTTTTTGCATGCGGGAAATGCAGCTCAACCTCTGTATTTTTTCTTCAATAATTTGAGCTGTCTTCCGCCTTGAAATCTAACATTTTCTTTTCTGTCGATAATGGTTCAGTCAATTATAATGAGTGATGTGATTTATCACTTATGTACATCGGCCGGTTTTTTAAGTCAATACATTGAATTAAGTGTCTCTCGAAATAATATTTTATTTTGGTCGCTTGACTTCCGAAGTTAGATTTTAATTTGGTTTTCATTTTTCTGAAAGTGAATTGTCTCGTGAAATAGAATTGGTTTTGAGATTTTTCAAGAGTTTTGAAGGTTCGTAAAGATTGAATCTTGAGGTTCATAATAGTGCCATAGTATCCAGAGAACATCTACGATTTTTTTTTCGTTGCAGCTTGAAGTACGAAAATCTGCGACCTCACCTGACGTTTGTTTAGATCTGCGTAGAAAAATATGTAAACCCGAATCCAAAGTTATTAAATCGGGTCTTGAAACTGATTTAGCGTATCAAAAGCATCCGAATCTATTCGGATATAAAAAGCATCCGAGTAGTCGGACAATATATGAGAAAAGAATAGCAAAGGTTGGTTGAGATTATGTGGCTCTTTACACTCGCGAGCAGCGTAGTATATTAGTACGAACCTTCTTTTTTTTCTTACCTGGCAGGCAATTAAAAGTGGTAGTTGGAAGTGTTCACTTAATTGGTGGCTTTTTTTGCTATAATCACGATCTGTAGCATTGGAAGTTTCATAGCATCTGTTCTCTGCTTTGTTTGTGGCTAGTGTTTTTGATTATTTAGGCGTCCGTGGCTGAGTGGTTAGACTCATAATCTCTAGGTCGCAGATTGAATCCGTTCGGGGCTTATTTCGGGGCTTATTTCCTTTACTAGTTCGGGGCTTATTTCGACCTTTTTTTATAGCACTTTATAGAGATGCTTTTTGTCGTGTTCTCGCTAGTGTTTGCGATTGTTTTGCGATATAACAAAATACGAGTTTTTTTTATCAATTACGTTTTCGATTATCAAGCATTTTCCATCTGGATTACGGAATTTTCCCCTGTAAACAGTTTCGTCAAACAAAATCCCCGAACCGTTTGTTAGCTTGATTTATGTTCAAGCTCAAGCGTCTCGTTCTGCACATTTGGTGTACAGGTACCCTCCATGCCTTGGACGACAAAAGTTCAGAGTTCGAGTGGGACCTGTAATTCTTCTGAACTGAATGTACTGTGAAACATTCAAATTCCTAAAAGTACGGGTCCTGATTGCAACAATTTACATGCGTTAATAGGTCAGCAAACCAATGTGTCAGCAACCCAAAAATGTGCAGGCTATATCAGTAAACCGAAAATGAATTGTTACCTAATCAGTAAAACGAAAATAGTGAAAAAGGTGTTCAGTTTTAAGCATGAGTTTTGCAATCGGGTACTAGAATTTCTTCTCAGCAAATAACTTTTGGCACAGATTTTGCATGTGAAAATATTACACGTGTTTCACTGGAGAGGTAAATGTAGTGAGTGCATGTTTGGCATGGGCTTTGTTTGCCTGTTATGAGTTCCTTCAATAGTATGTTTTCGGGGCTTGAGTCAGCTTCAATTCCGTCGGCCTATTTTCCGAATGATAATTTTCAAATACTTTTTGTTTGTTTTGTAAAATTGGTTGGCCTTACAATATGTTTCGGAAAAATCTCATCAATTATCCAGACATTTTTTAATGAAAATGAAAAATTTACACATAAAAATAGTTTTCAAATATTTAACACTTTCTTTTTTTTTTAGTTATTTCTTTTTTAATTTACACAATAAATTGGTTTAAACCTTTAATGCTTCTTATTGTTGAATCAGCTGTTTTTTCATAATTTTTCTGGTGTATGTAATTGAATTTCACATTTTCGACATTTTTTTGTTTATTTTTCTGAATTTTTTGTGCAACAATTGAAAATATGTTCTCATAGCTTTTTAGTCCATTTTTGTTTTGAAAAGTAGTTATTTCAGTTGAAAAACGAGAACCACACAATTCTGAATTGCCAGCAAATCACCAATTAATAAATTCAAATTTTTTGATAATTCAAATCAAAATTGCTAGACGAGTTCATGACGACGAGTTTGACGAGTTGCTGTCTGCTAAGTTTCCTAATGCATTTGTTGAGTTTCTCCAATTTTGGGTAATTTCAATGAAAAAAAAACTAGTGAAATAACTTACTGTTTTCTGTTCGCTAATGAAAAAAAAAGTTTTTTGTGACGTTGAGCTAATTTTGATCGGTTTTTGGGCATTGATCCCTTTTCAAGTGTTATTTGTAGGTTAAGGGAGGTGGAGTTGAAATTTTTTAAATTTTTAATCATTTTTTTTGGCTCAACGCGTGTCTACTTAAAGATTGTCGGCTTAGTTGCCACATCACAGATTTTTGTTTCTTGTAGTTGTTTTCTTGATTCTTTTCTTTTTCCACATCTTTGTTGAAAAAGCAAGTGTTGTTCATTCTAGTCTCAGGTGGGACTTAAAACCGCAAATTTTTATGCAATCATATTTTTTCTGCTGAACTTGTGTTTGCTCAAAGATTTTCGGATTTTTTTCTCTTCGTTAGTTTTTTCCGTTGCAAATTTAATGCCCAAATTTTTGGCATGTTAGCCTAGAATGAACTTTTATTTAGACATGAAAATGTAATTTTTAGTAGAAATAGTTTTTTTTCATAGTTTTCCATTTTTTCGACTTATGTTTTTTATGAGACGTTCAATCGCAAGTGGTGCGAAGCTCAGCTTGGCCTCTGTGGAAAAGTTCCGATCAATGCAGGCAATAAAGCAACAATGTATTAAGCCTTACAAATTATTAGAATAGTTAACGATGATTTGCTCTAAATATGAAAGAGGACATATATTTCCCACCTGATGAGTAACATGTTCCGAATACTGCGAGGACAAGAGTGACCCCAGATATGGCCAGTATGCCCCGCTTGTTCTGCCAGATTTTAGATAAGAATGAAGAGATCGCATCAATGCAAGTCATCAGTTTAAACTCCCTAATTTTGAGTAATTGTGTTAATTGATTTTGACAAGAGAAGAGATTTGGTTGGATTTCAGCTCATCTGTCTCAAAAATATCAATTGAGTTGAATTGCTTTCTGGCTGAATTTTTGGCCAAAAACCGACTGACCAATTTTGAAGGCAGATATTAAAATGGAATCTACTGCTATCAAATCGAAAGTTTTTGAGTAAGTGAAAGAAATGTTCAGCCGTGAACTGCTTTTTAATCCACGAAAAGGAATGTCTATTTGAATGCAAATTGTCAAATTTCTTGGCTATGAGTTTTCCATTGTGGTTTCCAAAGTCCAATCTGGTAAGTTTGCCATTAAATGAAAATAGTTTGAATTAATTCAGTAGTGGTGACCTGTTTGTGGTTTGGTATTATAACGAGCTTAAGTTGCTCTGAGTTGAAATGTTTGGCGATCCATTTGATCTTACGAGGCTTGAAATTCTTTCCACTTTTTTCTGGAACTCACAATTGAGAGGTGGCAGATTTTTTTGAAGAGGTTTTCGAGGGTTGGAATATTCTTGCAAGTTTTCTGTCTTAGATTTTGAGAAACATTAAAATCAGTTTTTTTTTGTTGTCAAATAATGTGAAATATCAATGTTTCGAGGCCTTTTTCAGCCATAACTTGAAGACAACCAAAATGAGGAAATAGCCAATTTGAGGAAATCAACTTGCGATACCAATATGTGATCTCTGTTGAGTATATTTTGTTGGAGCAATCGTCTGACAATCATGAGCAATCTTTTCTCGTTAACAACTTTTTTGCAGATCACTGATGAAAATTGCTGCTAGTAAATACTATTTTAGGGACAAGCTGACCTCATAATTTGACTCAAATGTTCTGCATGAATATTCTAAATTCATCAAAGAAACATCACATGTAACCTTTTTTTTGGTTGCACAAGCCGCTACGCCCTTATTTTTGACACAAAAAGTTAATGCTCTCGGAAAGTCCAATTGTGGCCTCAAAGTGTCTTTTGGGTTTAGGCTCTGCTTAATAGTGTCCGATTTTTTTTGTTGTCTTTGGGTTTGCAGAAAAATTGGAGGGTCACTTAGATTTGAAGAGGATATTTGGAGAGTGCTTTTTGTTTTCTGCGTAACTAATTTCCAAGGTTGCAAGTCAACTAATCCAATTCCCGTAATGGCATTCATGTGAAGTTATAAAAACTTAGAAGGATTTGGCCGAATGTTATGGCATGTTCTCGCCGGCTGAATAGTTTTCTGCAAATTTTTCATCAACTTAATTCTTTTTGCTTGCTGCTTTCCGATTTATTTTCCTGTTAACATCTTGTCTTGCAGAATCATTGAATCAATTTTTCAACTGATCAATAGACGCAATTCGATAGAAATATATTGAGCATTTTTCAATGTAAGAGCCCGTTCTGTACAACATTTTTCTTTAAAGGTTTCCGAACTGTCAGTTCCTGTTCTGACAATTTCTCTTTTTCATTTTTTTTAACTCTCAGTGACTTCCTGTTTTTTTTTCGATACGTAACAATTTGAAACTTTTTCTAAAAAAATATTGAATACTGTTTATCTGCTTATTTTTTATCGGCTTAATTTACTGTATGTTATTTTCTCCTGATATAAACAAATTTAAGTATCTTTGAAAGTCGTTCTGTTACTTGCAAATTTCGGAATTCTGACTTTGATTTAGCAAAATTTTAAGTTTTTCTCGAAATGGACCCTACATATTTTCAGAAAGTGGTAACAATGGAAAGACTTCCCACTCCCCTGTCAGCCTGCATAAAAAGTCAGACTCTTTCTATTTTACCCCACCTTCTCCTTCTACAGCCTTCGCAAAATTCTGTGGGGGATTTTTTGACCCACATTTTTGCATTCTCATTTTATCGAAAAGTACTTTCCGACATCTGAGATTTTAGGTGCAGTCCAAAGCACTGGTTATGGAACGGTCCTCTGCATAAGCCGATTGCCGATTTTTTTAAATCCAACACGTAATGGCCCTTATAGAAGCCAAACGTTAGATTTTGTCCGTTTTTTGAAACTTTTCGACTAATCTCAAAAACTAACCTCCCAAATCTGAAATTAGATTTGTTAATCGTTTGATTTGTTGGCCGTTTTTTGAAAATTTTTGATTTCTCTCGAAAGCTTCATCATCGAATCTGATTTTAATGGTTAAACTGAGAGAGCATGTGGGAAGCTTTTTTTTCAAAGTTATGCATTTCTGAAAAGTGAAATTTTTTGATTTTTGTGACTATTTTTTGAAATTTTTTCCTACATCTCGAAACTACCTTGCCTATGTTCAATTAAAAGAATCGGTTGTGGAAGCTTCCCTGCACAAACCGCTACGCCCTTATTTTTGACACAAAAAGTTAATGCTCTCGGAAAAGTCAAGCTTTTGATTTTTTGACCATTTTCTGAAACTACGATTTTTCTCGAAAACCACCCTCCTAAATCTCTTTTTTAGTTCAATCAAAAGAAGCAGTTGTGAGAAGCCTCCATGCATTAGCGGCTACGCCCCTTTTTTCTACCCAAAATGGAATGGCTTTCGGAAAGTTCAAATTTTTGAACTTTGACCGTGTTCGGAAACTTTTTGTTTTTTCTCGAAAATTACCCTGCCAATTCTCGAATAAAGTATTCAATTGAATTAATTGGTTGTGGGCTTCCTCGCTGTGTAAGTCGTTACGTCTTTTTTAAGAAAAAATTAAGCCTTCGGAAAAGTTAATTTTTTCAACAGAAACCCTAATCTCTTATTTGCTTAGACACTTTTTGAAAAAAATTCACATGGTTTCCAAAATACGGTCATATTTTGGAAACCCTGTGAATTTTTTCAAAAAGTGTCTAAGCAAATAAGAGAAGGGTTTCTGTCAAAGGAACAGGTTGCTATTTTTTTTTCTCCCGTAAGAAGCGGCGTTTCCCCATATATCTTTATAAAATATGCTACGTATTTGTAAAAACCAATTTCTTAAATTTAGCCGTTTGCGCGTTTCGCTCTTCTCGAAAACTACCCTGCCAAACCTGAGATTTTTAGATCAATCAAAAGAAAAGGTTATTGGAAGCTCACCTGCGTAGCTTGAATGAAAAATTTAATGCTCACGGAAAAGTCAAGTCTTGATTAATTGGCTATACAAAAATGTTATGGCATTCGGAATATAGAAATTTTTTTGCAACCTTTTTCACTCTTCTCGAAAACTACCCCGCCAAATCTGAGATTTTCGGGTTTAACCAGTTTGTGGGAAACTATCCGGTATAAACGGCTTCGTAATGTTTAGACTAATGTTGCCTTCGAAAAATTCAATTTTTTGACCGCTTTTTCGAACTTACTGATTTTTCTCGAATACTTTCTTACCAAAATTGAGATTTTGGCGTCAATCAATAAACGGGTTCTGAGAAGCTCCATTGCAAAAATGACTACGCTCAAGTTTTTTTAGAAATAAAGTTGCCCTCAGAAAAGTCAATCTTCGATTTGTTGACCTCTTTCTGGAACTTTTCGACTTTTATCGAAAACTGTCCTACCAAATCTGAGATTAAGCGTCCAATCGAAGGAACATTGTGCAAGTATTTCTTCCCAGATTCGACGCCTCGTTTTTTGACATGTTACGTTCCTGTGATAAGTAATATCGGCAAATGGCCAAATTTTTGACACAAAAATTTATTGCTCTCGGAAAAGTCGAGTTTTACTCTTTTTTGACCAATTTAATGAAATTTTTGAATTATCTGGAATGAAAAAAAAAATTATTTTTAGAAAATGTTTTGATTTGTCTTAAAAACCAGTTTTTTCACTCTTTTCAAAAACTACCCCGCCAATCAAAAACAAAAACAGTGTATGGGAATACCAGCTGTATCAGTGGCTCAGCAGCTACAGGTTCATGTATAGATTTAGTTTTTTCGTTAATTTTTTTGAGACACTTCGGAAATTTTTTTCTCTTCGCAAAAGTTTGAGTTTTTCTCAGCAACTAATTTGTTGACTTTCAAAAAAGGAGTACTAATAAAAAAAAAACTGCCCAACCCTTTTGTGCCAGCACATTCCCCTTCTCGTCTTCAACCTTACTCCACTTTCTACAGCCTTCGCAAAATTCTGTGGGGGATTTTTGACCAATTTTTCATTTTCTCAACAAGTACCTTGCCAAAGCTGAAATTAACTACTCTCTCGAAAACTACTCTCCCAAATCTGGGATAAGGAGTTCAATAAAAAAATGGATTGTAGTTGTTTTCTTTGCGTAACGGGTTTTTTTTCCTATTTTTTGTAGAAAAAAAGTAGTGGCCTCAAAAAAGGCAATTTTTCGAGACATTTTGACTGTTTTTTTGAAACTTTTAGACTTTTCTCGAAAACTACCCTCCCAAATCTGGATTTAAGGAAACAACCGAATAAATTGGTTGTGAGTGTCTTCCCTGCATAACCGGCTACGTCCTAATAATTGTAGAAAAATGTTATAGTCTCAAAAGGGCTTTTTTTGAAATTTTGTCCTTTTTGTGTATCAAACAGGTACCTCCAGCTTATGCTGGGCCCCTAGTTTCTCAATTTTCTTGGAGAATTTCAACAACTCCTCGTTTCAAGCCTTAATTGAACAGCATCCGGTTGTTATTGTCTAAATGGTGGTTTTTAAACGGAAAAGGTGCTAGTTTTTTGTGCTCTCTCTCTTTTCGCCGACAAGAATTTTTAAACAAAAGATGTAAATTAGATTAAATTTTATAAATAGGTAGTTCAACTGTGTAATACAAAAAATCATTACGCTTGCGATTATGGAACTGTTTTGTGTGGCCAAACTGTCATACATAAATGGATTTTAGGGTCGCACACTTTTCTGAATTCTTTCATCATCTAGCTGGGTATTTAGAATTATAGCCCTTGAGCAAAATATAGCTCCGCTACAATTGTAAAATCAATATATGGAGGCTATATTTTATTTGTTCTAGACTGGGGGTGGGCTATAATGGTAAAGACTATAATGGTAAAGCTTTTTAATTTTGACCTTCGTGATTGAAACAGTTAAATGTTTTATTTCTTCAAAACTTTCTTCTGATGTCTCGAATTGGAAGATACAAGTGGGTTTTGAACTGTTCGTTAGTTTTCAGCAGCAACAGAATATACAGTTTAACTAGAATGTCCACAACCTCGGATAAAACATAGCTCAGGAGCAGACAAGCATCGAATATAATTGAAATTAGTGGATATTTTTCGTCGCAGAAAAAATGCTTTGCTTTTTCGGTGTAATAGAATTGCCACAACTGGAAACGAAGGTTGTCACAGGAGCAAAGAGCCCAGCATATGTAGTTGACAACCAGAATAGGACACACAATTAGAATGAAAGACCTAGGCAAACATTTTTCTTTAAAAAATTTAGTGTAGACAATTTATCCACAGGGAAAAGGACCAACGTACGAGCTGTTCGTCTTTTTACGGAGAACGACTGTTGCGACCCTACTTTAGAAATGTGTATACACTTTTTCTTTATTTTTGTGGGGTGAGAATTGTTGTCTTTGGCAAGGAG